GGTTGGACTTGATGATCTCTAAGGTATTTTCCAACCTAGAAATCTATGAATCTATGAAAAGGAACAGGGAAAGAAAACAGACACCCAAACGGGACACAGATCGGACTTGAAGTTGTTTTTTGGCAAGCAATAGAACAGCAGAGGTTTTAATTATTTTTCAGGTGGACTGCGCTCTGTCCCTTGTTCGTCTTGGCATGGAAAGGAATATTCCTGGTCTGCAGGTGCTTTGTGACAATCTGGTCACTCTTGAGACGGTGGTTTATGAGACCGATGGTGATCGAACTTTAACTTTGAAGGAACTTGTAGAGATGAAGGACATTGAAAAGTTGAGACTGTTGATGAAGAATGTAAGTATTTTGAATAAATCGGTAAGTACACCTTGATTTCCATTAATACAGGTTACTCTGGATCCTATGTATATAAAGATAGTGTTAGTGGCTGACTTTTTTCTGGTGAGCCTCCACCTTTAGTTCAACCAGAATTCAACATTTTACTGTGCCTTTTTTGTTGTGATGTTACTTTTAGTTTATTTGTTTTTAACAAAAGCTAAAATGGCTTGTTTTTCTCCTTGACATGCTGCTTTGTCCTAAGCACAGGACTAAACGTTAATAAATCCAATCTTTTAAAAGCTGTTAATTGCTTTTTCATTGGCCCATTCTAAAGGATCTTTCCTGTAGCTGTTGGTGATACAACAACATTGAATGTTTTCCTTGGTTGTTTTTTTTTTTTTTATGTCTTTAAATAATGGCAAATAAATCTTAATATTTGCCTCTGCAACATATGTGTGTTTTTCATTTCTCTGTGTCCAGCCTGTGCATGGCATTTCAGAATAGAAAAAGACCTCTTGGAAAGGTTGAAAAATACCTAGAGATTGAACAGGGCTCTGAAATTCAGTGAAAGAATATGTAAGCACCAGAGGAGAATACCCATGCACTTGAAGCTCCTCAGAATTTTCAGAATTTTGTTAGGATTTATGCAACCACTCATAATTTATTTTCTGTCCTGCGTTCTTGCATACTGAAAGTAACGCTTCTCTGACATGAATGCCAGCCGATCTTTCACTCATTCTGAAATTGCAGGGGGAAGACAGCTAGGCTTTCCTCATGTAATGGGCTTTACTCCTATACTGCTTGATTTCCCCAAGCCGTTGGATAGCAGAAAGATGATGGCGTGTTTCAGTGCTTCATGATGTAGTGATCTATGCAGCAGTAGTGAATGTCAGGCTTCAGCTGTTGTTTGTGATAGGTGAAGATACTGTTTCAGTTATATTGATCAAAATATGTTCTGTTTGTCTTGTTTGTTTTGGACAATGAAGCTGAACTTGTTCTTTTTTTCCTCTCTATAACTCATTGCACTTTCCAGTCCTCTGATGAAAAGTATGTGAAGAATGTTTATCAGTGGATGATCCCTTTTCTCCACCGCTGTGAAAATCAGTCTCCTGGTCTGGCAAATTCACTTTTTAAAGAGTATTTAGTAACATTAGCAAAGGAAGACCTGACTCTACCTCTGAAGATATTTCAGAATTCAAAACCTGCTGTAAGTGTAGAACCCTGATGATTCTACTGGTTTCTTTGGAAATTCTTGTGCTGAAGAGGTGAATTCATAAGTAGAGTTAGTTCATCTTCTAAATCAGATCATCTCTATGATCTTTCCCTTCCTCTTGGACCCAGGATTTGTTATGCTTTAGAAAACATTAATTAAAAAGTATTGCAGCATAAGTTAAGATGCAACTAAACTGTCCTTGATGAGACTGACATACTAATGTAATTATGATCTCGACCTAGTAGAACAAAAATTATTGTAAAGATTGTTCTTTGAAGTAATTTTCTGGTGACATGTTTAAAATAAATTCCTGGCATATTTGCTTTTTAAAAAAATGGATATGAAAGAGTTTCATTATCTGGCTAATATTTTTTTTCCTGAAGAATTTTACTAGCAGTAGATTTCAAGTTATTCCTCCCCCCCCCCGCCCCTCTCTTTCCATAATAAATGTAAAGAAAAAATGGAGGCCATTAGGATGGACCTAAGAGTTCAATGAGTAAGGGTTGAAGTTACCTTCCATGTGAGCATTTCATGCTTTTTCTACAGTTTAAATAATTATTCCAGGGCACATAAGCACATTTTTGCATACTGTTGAATGTTCAAAGTGTATGGACAGGAATCAACTAGTGAAGGAGAAACACAGCTATTTTATATATATTGATTCTGTTGTACATATTAAATAAATCTGGCAAATGTTTGTAGCAGTTGCCTTCCTCCACCCTGCACCCTCTCTACCTCTCAAATTCAAAAAGGGTATAATGGGATGTCACTGTTCTTTCAAGTGTCTGCAGTGTAGGAAACTAGCTGAGTTGTGTTTCAGGTTGTAACTTCAACAGATACTTAGTTAGCAAGAGATCTTCTAATTACAACAAAGGACTATTTACTTGGAGTGCACATATTTTTATATTCAGAAGAAACTTAACTTTTTAATTAGAAACGGAAAACTAAAAAGAATATGTTTTTCTTTTCTTTTTAGTGTCAGCAAAAAATGATTCCTGATCAAGACCAGCTTATGATTATGGCACTGGAATGTATTTATAGTTGTGAACGAGATGACCAGCTCGCTCTCTGTTACGATATTTTGGAATGCCTTCCACAAAGAGGATATGGGTAAACATCTTCAGCTAGTTATTTGTAAATATTTTAGATATGTTAAATATAGTTGTGAATTAATAGTTTTAAAAATAATTGTCAAGTCTCTAAAGGGTAGATGATGTTACTGGAATATTCTGTTCCTGTCTGAGTTGCCGTAGTCTTATGTGTGTATATATACGCTTGTGCTGTATGGGTACCCTACCAAATAATGCAACAAAACATGATTTAAAGTACCAGTCTAGAGCAAGACTTCTGCATAGACTTTTATATCCTGGTGAATTGAGACCAAATGTTAGTGCTATCTTACAGGTGTTGTTGGTCTTGTTACAGTTAGTGGTGTCTTGCACGTAGCTTATAAGAGGCAATACGGCTCTGTGAGAGAGGTCTCTATATGGAAAACCTATATGAAGGACAAGTAATTCTTGAGAAAGCGAAAGCATGAGGAGGAGATGTAAACTATTCTCTCAATGTCTTCTACATGTAGGGACGAGAGAGCCTGAGAAAAGCATAAGGAAGAAGGAAAAGCTCTGTTCTAGCGTGACCGAGGGACCCTCTCAACTTTAGCTAGCCTTCCAGCAAGAACCCAACAACTTTAACCTTTTCAAGCAAACAAATATTTGATTTTCATCAAGGAATGTTTCAAACTGCTTGTCTTTTTATCTATGTAATATGAATTACATGAAGAAATTACAGGAAGTATGTATATATATGTATTTAATATTAATTGTATAATATCTTTGCAGGCTTGAAACAGATAAAACTAATACTCTTCATGATGAAGTAGATGAACTGGAACAAATTCTTAGGTATTTAATTTTGCTAAAATAAATAATTTATTCTTACAGGAGTCACTAGAGATAGGCAAGAACTTTCTTATGACAAAAATCAGCAAGAATGTTTGTCTTAGTTTTACTGCTTTCACCAAGATAATCTATAAGTTTTTTATATTCGGAATTTAGAACATTTGAATGGTTTTAACTATTCGAATGTTATAAAACTGCACAGATATTTTCCTTGGCATAAAAGTATTTTTGCTTTTTTTCTTTTCTTTTGGAGGAAGAGGAAGGTTACTTCTGAAATACCCAGGGATTTTTTTTTTGATCTTGATATTCTGTAATGCTTTGAGTGATCAAAAACTAAAAGCCGTGAAGATATGTCATCAGGTTATTAGTGATATGCTTTTACCTTGCAGTATTTTTTTTTTTTTTTGAGTAAATAGTGTTAACTCTGGCTAATCCATACTGTTACCGACTTTATGGAGACTGTTTGCATTTGCTGTATGTTTAAGACTGCTGCAGCGAGGCAGTTGTACAACTGTGCAGGATTCAAAAATGGTGACTCTGCATTTACAGTGTGTCAGAGCTGTTGGAGAAACATGGACTTCAGAAACCCGTTTCCTTTGTGAAAGACACAAAGGACAACGTGGAGGAGGCACGGAAGCTGATGATCAGACTGACGAGGCACACAGGTCGCAAGTTAGTATCCAAAGGGGAGTGGGAGAGAAGGGGGAAAGGACAGTAAGGTAACAAGTACTTATTGTCAGAGACCATGCATGCATGTTCTGTTGCAGTAGAGAACCATGGTGTTCAAACTGAACACGATTTACATAAACCACATTTGTTTAACTGATGATTAACGTGATTACTGTTTTGGCTGCATTCTGCACATTTAAAAAGCTGTCTTGGTTCAAACCAGTTTGAGTATGTTTGTGTTCAAGTAAACAAGCCTAAAAGGTATACTGACTGCAAAATACTGCAAAATGATGAACAATAAAAGTTAACATTGTAAATGAGGTCCTTTAAGACTATTTAATTTTATTGAGAGTGTAGGATTTGTAAAATAACACTTATTTTGGGGGGGGGCGGGCAGGGCATGTTTTCTTAAGAGCTCTTGTAATATGGTAATTTATTGATTTTACATATTGGTTGCACCTCTTATATTTCCAGTATAATTTGTCAATTTTTCTGTTTAAGAACTACTTCATTTAACTAGTCTTCCAACTGTAGGTGCATTGTTGTCAAACAATTTTATCCCAGAGTCACTTTTTTAATGTTAATTAATATTAAAAGCATTCTGTCTTTAAATCACTTTCGTTGGAAGTCCAGTTAAAGATTGAAATAGCATTTGAGAAAACTCACATTTTGGTGATCAGACCATAGTGTTATCTACTGCTTTTCTTTAAATTTGTTGAGGAAGAGAATATTTAATTTTAAAAATGTTTGTAGGCAGCCATCAGTCAGTGAGACGCACTGGAAGGAATTGCTTCAGGATATGTTAGACATGCAGCAGAAAGTATATACATGTTTACATTCAGATACTTGCTATGAGGTGAGTCTTACATTTTCATACTGATTTATATCCCAAGTAAGGTACAGATTCTCATTTCATGTTGTTGCATTTCCGTGTGCTATGTTACTTGGTTGTCAGCTGGCTCTTTTACGGTATTTTCATTCGAATCAGAAACTTTCTATATTAATTCATTTCATCAAAAGTCCCTCTAATAAAGATGCTGAATATCTGTTACTACAATTCAACTATTTTAAATTGAGTCAACTTCTTGAGACTTCGTAGTTCTATGTACAAATGTGTTTAGTAATAAACACTTAAAACTAATGAAAATAAATAGTCTTTTAGCTAAATGTTATCTTCAGTCAAGCATTTCTTAAACGTGAAGTTCTGGTTTAATAATATTATCCAAGATCATTATAGGATTATGAACTTTCTACTGCTTGCAGTTGAAGTAGGATAATGTGAGATGAGAAATCCAATTTCATTGAAGGAAAAAAACCCTGCATGTGCATAAACCTCAAAGCTATGTCATGAATATTTGCAAAGGACAGCTATTAGACTGATGTAGAATCTGCTGTGACGTGTATTGTTTATCTACATTTTCAGTTCAATATACTGCAGTTTATTACAGAAACAGTGCTATATCCACTATAATCAGTGTTTAAATAGTCCCGTTTTTAAAAGTTCAAGAGTGTTTTATTAGTTTTCAGATTTAATTGCTTATGGCTACCGATCTGATTAGCTCTTGGGAGAAATTTTGAAAGCAAATTAGAAAAAAAAAAATGAAGGGGAAAAGCAATGCTACTCGACCTATACAGAAAAAAGTCACTCTTTCTCTGTAGTTGTACAATTTGAAGTTGCTCAAAGGGAACTGCAATACATTTAATGTTCATGTTTTTGTGATAGGCTAAGGCTTAGTGTACTTGGAATTATTTTGTACGTGCATTTAAAACAAAATACAGTAATAGAGCACTCTGAAAATAATAGCATTTGCTTTGCCCTGATTTTAGTACAAGTTTTTCATTAATATTAAATATTAAAGATTTCATTAATATTAAATTATTTTTAACCTCTGCACCATATGATTAAAAAGCCACAGAAAAGGGTTTTGGAAAAATGATCTAGGAATGCTGAGAATGCTTTGAAATGTAGTGCTGTGGTATGCAATTATACTTTGATAACTTCAAAATTGAGAAATTGATGAGGCAGTAAGGATTTGCAATCGCATGTTGGGTTTGTATTGGGATCTTTTTTGGCATAGTGCTTACTGTGTTCTGCTTGCATGGAAAGTGAATCCTGTCCTCTTGAAGACAGACTTCATAAATTTTGAGAGAGGTAAATTCCGTGTATGTGATCTTTAAAGAAAAAGGGTCAGCTATCATACTTTGCATCTTTCACTGTTTCTTGAGGATTAATATATTGTGAAATAACAGATGATCCAATTGTATGATTTTTTTAAAAAACACCGAACTGTGTTCCTTTCCAAAGCATGAGATGATATGGAGAGGTTATTCGTAGTAGAGAAATACTTTAATTTCAAGATGTGATTGGACAGGGTGCTAGATAATCTCATCTATGCCCCCTTTCACATGAAAAATAAGACCAGATGATCTTTTGAGGTCTGTTTCAACTTGAGCTCTTCCATGATTCATTTCTAATTTGTTATAAAATCTAAAACCTTTGATAAAGGCCATATTGTTGCAGCTGTGATGTTTTCTGCAGTGGTTAAATGACTATGTTGCTCATCATAAGGACAATACTGATAGTGTTAAAAAAAAAAACCAATTTATTTTTGTAAGGAATTGAGATTGAGTGTCTTAAAGTTGGCAAAACTTTGACCTGAAAATAAGTTAGGTTTTTTGTGGCAGATGGAGCATTATATTAATAGACATTCTTTGAAGACAGCCTTGATTGAAACTTAAAAAACATCTTATATGCTCAGTTCTAAATATTTTTAGTTTCTTCAGGGATACAGAATTTCTTCTTATGTGTTGTTGGTTTTAAGGTCTTACTGAACTGCATTTGCAGATTCCTGCATCCTATTAACACCTCAGAATGTAGGTATAAATAATTTCTGATCTCTAAGTCGTACTGTAAAAAGGCAAGTATCTGAAGTTTTTAAGCTTTTTTTCTGCAGGAAGTAGAAATAACTAGCTACTAGTTAATTTTAGCTGTGCTTAAATAAATCATGGAAATACTCTCCTTCGTAGACGTCACGTTTTCTGCTTGGACTGAATATATTCTTTTGACTTCAAAGATCCTTTTATTCAAAGGGACTGGTTCCATACAGTGGAGATAAGCTTACTTGAAGCTGCTGCAGCAGATTATTAAATTACTGTTCTTTCTTTTAGGTATTCACAGAAAGCCTTTTATGCTCAAGCAGTGTAGACAACATCCACTTGGCTGGGCAGATGATGCATTGCAGTATTTGTTCAGTGGATCTACCAAGCTCATCAAAAGGGAAGCCACAGTATCGAGTCAGCTATGCAAAAAGTATCGAACTAGTTTTGGCGGCTGGCAGAGAGTATTTCAATTCCTCAACAAGTCTGACTGATAGCTGTATGGATTTGGCCAGGTATATTTACACTTATCCTATATGTTAATACATATTGCTTTTTTAATTGAAACTTGCATTTTGTTTTCCCTGTTAAAGAGAGTGAATGTTATGTGTGTTTATTTCTCTTCATGTAAAATTACATGATAAATAGAAACAATATCTTTGGCTTCTGTAAGATTATTTTTTTTGTTTTGTTTTTGTGAGATTTTTATTTATTTCTTTTTTTCCCCGTCTTACTTTGTGTGTGTGTACACCATTGCTGTCCATGGTCGCTGGAATGATCTGTTACACAATTCAAGTTGAAGAAGAAGAAACGTGAAAGTCTTTCTCTGTGGATAAGAAGCTTTGTGTGTGTGTCGTTTGAACTTTTTCCACATTACAGCAGTGAACCACAGTTATGGGGCCCAATTACTATCACAATAGAAAACAGTATTTTGCTGATTCATTCATTTCTTTTCTTACATTGGTTTTTCCCAATTCCAAGAGTTCATTTGAGGCTATCTGTCTCTGTTACATTAAGAAACGAGCCAAATAATTCTTCAGAAAACAATTCAGGGATAGAGCAGCTTTGGAGGTTGCAGCGTGGATGCATGCTCTTGTGTAAATTTACATGTAGAAGTATTTTCTTTTACAGCTTAGATGCAGATAGGTAAAATAATTGTTTATTACCTATGTAGAATATTGATGACTTGGCTTACCCTAAATAATTAAAATGAGGCATGTCTTAATATTTTCACCCTTTTCCTTTTATTCCAAGAATTTGCTGTTTCATTGATGTTGTTGTTATATGTTAATCCAAATGAGTTTTCCTTTTCCCTTAAGGAACTTGGAAAGAAAAAAACCTGTAACAAACCACAAACCAAACATCAAAAATCAAAACAAAATCCCATAACCAAACAAAAATCCTTATGTCTCAACTACAAAAGAAAACATGTCTTTATAAAGTGCTAATTTATCAAGAGCCATGGATGTCATCTGTCTGGACTTTGGTATGGCCTTTGACACGGTCCTGCACAACATCCTTCTCTCTAAATTGGAGAGATAAGGATTGGATGGGTGGACTGTTTGGTGGATGAGGAATTGGTTGGATGATTGCATCCAGGGGGATAGTGGTCAACAGCTCAATGTCCAGATGGAGATTGGTGACAAGTGGTGTCCTTCAGGGGTCTGTACTGGGACCAGTACTCTTTAATATCTTCATCAATGTCATAGACAGTGGGATCAAGTGCACCCTCAGCATTTTTGCAGATGACACCAAGCTGTGTGATGTGGTTGTCGTGCCTGAGGGACAGGATGCCGTCCAGAGGGACTGGGACAAACTCGAAAAGTGGGTCCATGTGAACCTCATGAGGTTCAACAAGGCCAAGTGCAAGGTCCTGCACATGGATTGGGTCCATCCTTGCCATCAATAGAGGCTGGAGAATGAAGGGATTGAGAGCAGTCCTGCCAAGAAGACTTGGGGGTGCTGGTGGATGGAGAACTGGACGTGAGCAGACAAAGTGCGCTGGCAGCCCAGAAGGCCAGCTGTATGTTGGGCTGCGTCTAAAGAAATGTGGACAGCAGGTCTGGGGAGGTGATTCTGCCCCTCTGCTCTGCTCTGGTGTGACCCCGTCTGGAGTTCTGCATCCAGCTCTGGAGTCCTCAGTGCAGGAAGGACATGGACCTGATGGAGTGGATCCAGAGGAGAGCCACAAAAATGATCAGAGGGCTGAAACATGTCTCCTGTGAGGAAAGGCTGAGAGAGTTGGGGTTGTTCAGCGTGAAGAGAAGGCTCGGAGGAGACCTTACCATTGCAGCCTTTCAGTACTGAAAGGTGGCTTATAAGAAAGATGGGTACAAACTTTAGCAGGGCATGTAGCACCAGGACAAGAGGTGATGGCTTTAAACTAAAAGACGGTAGATTTAAACTAGATATAAGGAAGAAATTTTGTACAATGAGGGCAGTGAAACATTGGAACAGGTTGCTCAGAGAAGTTGCAGATGCCTCATCCCTGGAAACATTCAGGGTAAGGCTGGACAGGGCATTTAGCAACCTGGTCTAGTTGAAGACGCTCCTGCTCATTACAGGGGGTTTGGAACTAGATGACCTTTAAAGGTTGCTTGCAACCCAAAGTATTCTGAATCCATATTCACTATGAAAAAGTGATTTAATATTGTCATAGAATTAGAGTTTATTTACTATTTTTTTTTCCCCAATCTCCTCTTGAGAGTCTTTTCCATAGCAGACTCTGCAAAAACAAGGAATCACTGATTTCAATGTCTTATAAGCGTCCTGTGATCAACTTTTATCTTATAAATTTATAGTGATATTTCAAAATAAGCAGTTTATAACTTGAATGCTTGCTATGAATGTGTGACTCTGTTATGTGTTCTGTTTAGTAAGATGTTTTATTCCTTGTCTGACTTTTCTCCAATCAGTTTTTTCATGGTAACTTTAACTTATTTCCATGAGTGATTATCACAGTGTGTAGGTCTCCTAGTAACCTTCCTGTATGAGTTGTTTTAGGCGAAACATATTTGTCTTATCTTTAGCTAGTTGTCTTTCCTTCCACTCCTGTTTTATTCTCCACTTCACCCTGAAATGTTTGTCAGTGCTTCTGAAAAGTGTGACAGGTTCATATGGGAATGTAGCCACCATACAATTTTATTTTTGATGTAAACATTTCTATTTCTTAATTAACATGTAGAGATAAAAGCCATGTGACAAATTACACAAATAAAATACTTTCCTGATTTAATATGCATGATGAATTAATTCATTTTAAATCCTTGAGATGATTTTTGCATGGTTTTTTTTATTTAATGTGTTACTAAAACTACATATGAACATACTGTACCTGAATGCAAGTTTTATTTAAAAATTTTATCTAAAAGCTGATGATGTCAAGATAATATTCTTAAAACATATGGGTTTTTTTTATAATATGTAGTTAATAATTGTATGTGTTAATTAATCTTCAGAGCAGTTTTGTGTGGGTGTTTTGTATTTTTTTTTTTAATCAGCTTTGATTTGGTATGCTGAACCTAGTTGAGGAAACTGAAATTGTGACAACTCCTCTAACATTTCACTTCCAATCAATTTTTTACAGAATTTTGCTTTTATATTCTAGTATATGGCAACACCAAAATGCAACAGTGATATGAGAAATATTTCCCTAAATAATTACATATTTAAGTACATATGCCTTCAACATCTTTCATTAAATTCATTGCAGGTCTAAATTCAAGAAGGTTTAGGCAGTGTTCTTGTCACAACTAGGTGAAGAAGATTGCAGAAATCCAAGAATAGAATTCGATTAAAATGTTTAGCCAGCCATAACGGGAATATAGTGCCAAACACTTACAATATGTGTTACAGGACTAGTGACTCTTTTGACATTTCATAAGCACAGTAAATTACTGGGTGGTATTTTTTTTGTTTTCACTCATGGATGAAGTTTTTCAATAAATTTAACTTTGAATTTGTTCAAAGAAAAATTTGTTTCCTTCCTATTTCTTCCTATTTAGGTGCTGCCTGCAACTTATTGTAGATTGTCCGAGTGCTATTCAGGAGGAGCTAGATCTTATTCGTGCTCTTGGCTACCTTGAAGAGTTTGGTGTGAAAGTATTACCATTACAAGGTACTGCATATTTTTATTCTTTATAAGACTTATTGGATCACATGCATAAATATGCATGACAAATAGTTTACTACTGTATGAGTGTTGCTTGAGTAAACTCAAGAGTCCCTTCCCTGCCTCCAAATGGCTTACAGGCACATACCAAAAGATAATTTTTTAAAAACCTTTTTTTCAGTTTATGTGAGATACGAAGGATGTCTAGGTATGGAATCTGTGTTTTGGAATTTATTTTTAGCAAGACTTTTTAATAATTAGAGTAATGAGTGTCTGAAGCTCCTGGTGACTTCAGCAGAAGTGGTTTCAGCTCACCTTTTATTGGCAAAATAATCTGTACTTGCTCATGTGCTGATGAGCTTTAAAATAACGAGTGGGAGAGAGATATTTCATGTATAGGCAGTTTTAACGTCTCTACTGGGGTGTTTCATTTTGAAGTACATAAAATCCAATGACAATGGAAGTGAACTTTTATTGTAAAACTTTAAATCCGTTTTGTAGCTCTGACTCCAATCGTATGGAAAGTTGTTTGACAGAAGTTGGAAAGAAAGGGTGATTATGGACAATGAGATAAAGGGGAAAATGGAATATATTGCAGTATATTTGTATTGCTTATAGATTGTGCCAAACTAACAAAAGTTCACTGCTTTATTAACAAAAACCCTACTTTTGAGCGAAATCTACCTGGCTTTCATTGAAGCTTGAACGTATGGTATGTGGGCAACTGTGAAACTGCATGAACACTGGTATTGAAAGCACTCGAAAAACTGACTGAGAGAGAGCGCTGAGTGCCAGTGAAATGTGTTGATGGTAGTGTTTTCTGTGCACAACACCAGAAGTAAATACTGAGATTTATGGAGAGCACCTGTGGGTCTGTGGAAAATGAAGCAGATGTTCTCAGGGGCTGTTGTTACTTCTGTTGTTACTTTACTTCTCTATTGTGGTTTTTTTTTTTTTTTTTTCTTTTGCAAGTATTCCTTCAAAGTGAGCTCATGCTCCGTACGTTATATTCAGGAATCTTCCCGTTTCCGATTGAGAATAACTATGGTTTCTAGATCTTCCAATATTGCACAGTTGACTTCTACAGCAGAATTATTTTTTAGTCAATTTGTTCAGCCTGTGAAAAAGAACACATGTATTTTCTTATCTTTTTCAGTGTGGACATGAAGGATCTCTTTAAAAAAAAAATCATGGAGACATAATATTGCATTAATATTATGCGTCATACAACTGATTTGTATTAATTAGAATATGTGAAACCATGCCTGTAATTTCATTAATGATCCTGACTTATCCTTTCTTCAGTGTCTTTCCTGTAAATCGAGTTAATCTAATATGATTAAAATTATATTTTAAAGTTTTAATGAAAGCCTTTAAATGGTCAGTTACTTTGATAGAATGTCATTAAAATAACATTAAGGATCACTTATTCTCACAGTAAGAATTAGCAGTAGACTTATTTGCACTTCTGTGTTTAGTTTTCTGTAGACCTTCTCGCTCTACTTGCATGTTTATCAAACTCAGCAGTTAAGGTTGGGAACTACTATTATGATGTATTTTAATAAAATCTGGTTTGGAGACTCCTTATTAACATAAAAGGTGAAGAAAAGTCCATCTTTAATAAAAGTGTTTGACCCATGGTATTATTTCAGATTACTTTCAGTTATGTTAGGTATTTCAAAAGATTTTCCTTATGCAGTCAATGTATGAAAATATTTTACTGCTGTATGCTAATATGTGTGTGTGATAGAATATTAAAAATGAAACTAAAAGTGTAACCTTTTCCTGCTCCTCCATTCTTAATTTATTTTAGTTTAATTTGATTTCCAGAACTTTTATTAATAATGAGTTTTCATTATGCAAGTACTTAATTGCTCTCATTGAGAGGCCTATTATCATATGTTTTAAGCCCAATATGCTGATGTGGAGTTTATCCCCCATGCAGGCATTAATGTCTTACTGAGTGTTAAGTGGAAGAACTGCATGGTGTTCCTCTGTGTTCTGAGAACTCGCATGGTATGAAAACGTTACCTTTTTAAAGCAGCAGCCTGAAGTTGGCCACCCGCTAACTAGCTAAAAAGAGCACTGAAATTCGTATTCATGATATTAAATTATACAATTAAAGTAATTGTTTAATTCTTGGTAAAATCTTTTTTGAAACACAGTACTAATTATAAGCTTGTCAGGTTATGGTTAACACAACCTGGTGATTTGCAGGCTGTCCTTCCACTTGCTCAGAAAACATAAGCGTAAATTAAACCAGCCTGAATATTTTGCCTACGACACTTCTTTTAGTCTGTGTGATGTATCCTGTCCACCCTAACATAAAATGTAGCATGAAATATTATTTAGTTACAACATTCCGAATGAAAGTTAATTTTAGCAGTCTTTCTCCGAATCTTGCAAAAATGATATTTTAAAAAAAAATTGTAAAGACATATGATTAGTCATATAAATTTAAAAATGCATCTGAAAACCTGAAACAAAAACAAGTTTTCATTCAGGTTAGTCCCAGCCTCACTTGCTAGTGATTGGGGCTGGGTATATTGTAGTGTTATTTTAACTTTCTGTTTACAGATACAGTTGAGGATCTGCATGCCAGTAGCTTTGGGCTGGTTTTCAGAATGTGTTTGCATTCTCACACTCCCTAGGACTCTTTCTGCATCTACATGGTTAACCAGAAATAGAGCAGTAAGGTTCATTTGTACAGTCCCTAACATCAATTCTTCTTTCAACAGTGCGTTTGTGTTCGGATCGACTTAGTCTCATCAAGGATTGTCTTGCTCAGTTGTCAACAAACTATAAGCAGTCTGCGAAGCTCCTGGGACTTGCAAATTTGCTAAGGGTTGCAGGTAAGCTATGTTAATAAGACACTGAGTAGCAATGCAACATGCATTTGGTTTATGCTTTTAGGACATTTGAGGTGATCATTAGAATGTGTGTTCAAGGAGATCACTAAAAAGTCATCTGGGAGAGCAGTCATTGGGGAGGAATGACATATTTTACATGAATGAAATATTTTACCTGTGAAACGACTGAGATTGTCAGCTGCTCTGACGTTCCACTAATAACTAAAATAAAACCAGCCTTGTCTTATCTGGATTTTGAGTAAAAGCTCGTTTCAAATTGGAGGAGCTGTGGCTGAGAATATTTTGGTTTACAGTTAATTGGTACTACTAAAATTCTAGTAATTACTGTTTCTGTCAAATAAAGTAGTTTGATTTAATAATAGTCCATTTACGTTAGAGGGGGGGAAAGTAATCTGTAATGCATATACTTCAGCTCTTAAGCTTTTGTCTATGCTTTGTGTATCTCCTTTGTCTACTAAAAATAATGCATTAGCTTGAGTATTAATTGGAGGAGCTGAATATCTCCAAGGATTCAATCCTAAGGATATTAAATTATTTTTTTTCAAAGCCTAAAAACACAAAGTATTTTGTCCAATACTGTTGTCCTAGTGCCTTAGTTGTAGATCAGCATCTAAAGTGCCCAGTATATACTTTTGAAAAAGGAACAAACTTGTGGCTCCCATCTCCAGAGACTGAAAGATGAGAGGCAACATATATTAGGTAGAGAACTTTAGGGAATTCCTAGAGCTTATTGATATGGTAATGTCTGTGTGCTAGTATTGTCATCACAATGACACTCACTGAGACACCACTGAAAAAAGAGATTTAAAAGAGATATTTAAAGCCAGATGATAAAATGGCCTCCTGATTTTCTCTTTCATGTGGTTACTGGACTAGAGAAAACCAGAAGATGAGTGTGTGAGGTCGTTAATTTTTAATCAGGTGAATGCTTTAAAAGCTACTAATTAGGCTACAAGTTACAGATTTATTCTGAGAGTGTTGGGCTCTCTCACTTTAGCGGTTAACTTCTGGAATAATGCTAATGGTTGTTCCTGTGGTAATTATGGAATTGTAGTAATAAAAGTATGTTTCAGGAGTGAATTTTGGTAGGGAAAACACTACTTTGACACTTGGTTTTCTTGTCTCTTATGCTAAATAAACAAATAACTCAGTTACTTTCAAGGGTATCTTTTGATTATAGAATAACGTTTATTTGAAAGGAAAAAATAGCAAGGAAACATTTCCCGTAGTGGCTTTCTGTGGTGGTGGATGTGGTTGGGGTTTATGTGGTGGGTTTTTTTTTTGTCATTGTTTTGATTTTGTTTGTTTTTAAATTAGGTAGTTGAAAGCTTTTGTGATTAAAAACCATTTCACTGTCACTGAGAGATGACTAGTTGTATTACTTATAGAGAAATACTATTTTCTGTACACTATATTCATTTATAAGCAAGATCCGGATTCAGTATGAGAATGCCATAGTTGTGAATTTTATCTAAACTTATTTGTAGGAGATGGGCTATGGAAAACAGGTTTCTTTCATTTTGAGAAACTCAGTATCTCTTTAATCTTTTTTTTTTTAAGTTTTTCTGGACTTGAAAGCTGTAAACAGCATACCAATATTACTGCAGTGTTTTTTGTGCCTGACATTCCATCCCATTGACAAGTATCGAGAAGAGTATTCAAAAGCATACAAAGGAAGCATGATTGTCATCGCTATTTTAAGTCATGCATGCAAATGCAATATTTTTCCAACAGATTAGCATCTGTAGAGCTTCACTCTTTAGTCCTCAGTTACTGCTATGTGTATCTTCAGTGAGTGCTATAATAGGTAACCTTACACTGAATTTAAAGTTGCATATAATTTTACTAGCTAGGTTAATAATACCTTTAAAAACAGATTTTAATTGGAATGCTGGCATAACCTTAATCACAGTCTGTAAGGGAAGAGTCTCATAAAAATTAATAGTAGGTATAAAAAAAATTAATTGAAGCAAGGCATGTAGAAGTGGTATTTCTCTGTCTGTCAACTCGTGATTTAAGTTATTGAGTTACAATCAACTATTAATATGATGAAGAGTTATTTCAGGACTTGGTAGCCATAAGAATGATAACAAATGCTAGTATTATTGCGCAAATTAGTTTGTAGCCAAAAGGGCAGCTCATGCATACAGATTTCAAGATTTGTGAATGAGTATATTTTATTTTAAACTGAATATTAGAAAAGGAAAACCTTCCTTGCAGTTTTGGCACAGATAGTCTTTGTTAGCAGGTTTAAAACTACTAGGAAAGGGTAACTTGATTTCTAACAGCTTATGATCAAAGGAAATGGTTTTATGGAGATATATTGGGATGAGTCTGGATATTGAAAAAGAACCTAGGGACTGAGCTTTATGGACTGACTTAATGAAGAATTAGATAAAGAGCTGCTGGAAGAACGAATTGTTTTTTATCCCTAATTGGTTTTCACTACTTAGACAATTATCCTGATTTATGAGCCACCTTTTCTGTGAAAGAAGTTCTGATGTTGTCTTGTGGAACATACTTATTGGTGTTGGTTATGCGTGCTCAAATTCACAGTCCCTTCCATTGCTGATCCACTGTGTGCATTTACCAGCTGGGTGCTTTCTTGTGCTCTTCCTACTAACCGGAGGAATTTGTTTCAGCATTTCCCTCTCATTGCTCTCCCTTCCACCCAACCCCACCCCATATGATTATTACTATGAAAGACCTGCTTGCTACATCTATCTATGCCAATACAAATTTTATGCATATGTATATAGGATATATAGTATATGCTATGTTATACTGTATATAATATATAGCTTATAAAATACTATGGGCATAAATATTAATTTTAATTCTAAAATAATGCATTTGCTATGCATACAAGGGTACAGTGCACATGGTCATCCTTAAGGAACTTTGGGAGCTGTGTTCTCTGAATATGGTTTGTTTAGAGAGCAGCACTGAAAGTGAGTAATAGAATTTATATTCATACTTATCAAACCTAAAACGTTGCTTAGGTAATGATAAGTCAGCTGGCTTCTTAATTGCTTTAAAGTATTTGATTAATGACAATAAACATTACTTAAGCCTCACGTCACTACCTCTGTAAAGTAAGCACACAAGTATTATCTTAATTTCACAGATGGGTGAAGTGAGTGGAGGAGAATGTGCTCAGAATGACAGCCTGAAAATCTACACGTGCTCAGAGAGCTGGAGTTGTTTTATGTCTTATGATCCTCACTTAATCCTCACTTAATCCTCACTCTCAGTTAAGAAAGGATGTGAAAGGATTCACTTTATGTAATTATTTGCTTGCAAAATAGAGAGCAAAAAAAGTGTTAAAAAAAAGCGCTTATATATCAGAAATTAAGAACATCTTTCTGGTGTTACTGTATATCAAAAAGATCTAGTGAGCATTGCTCCTTTTTTGTGAGATAGGCTCTCTCAAAATGTTTTCTGTTCGTTATTCTCTTTTCTCACAACTTTCTTATGTTAATTTAATTAATTTAAATTTAATTTAATTTAATTTAATATCCACAAGTTAATTCTAGTAATTTCAAACTTTGCTCACATTCCTAAGTCAAAAGGTATTTTTGAAATCCACCTTCCTCAACACTGACTTTCTTGCTTAATGCATGTAGAAGTAACCATAGAGATGGTTTCTGATCTCTTAAATGTAGATGACATGGAATTTCTGGAGTATTCATACAATTTTGATATCATTTTTAAAGTTTTTTATGACATGGATACTCTCAGGATAATGCTGTTTTGTCCACTCACAGCATGCATCTTATTCAGAATGTTTCAGTAAGCTTTTTTTTTCTTTATATGACCTAAATTGGATCCAAACTTTTAAAAAGTATTTGAACATCTTTTATTAAATCAAGAAAAAATGATTTTCTGTTATTTCTGAGCTTCCATATTTTTCCTGTCTTCATTTGTAATAGATTGATAGAATCATTTAGGTTTGAAAAGGCTTTTAAGATCATGGAGTCCAACCATTAGCCTAACACTGCCAAGTCCACCGCTAAACTATGTCCCTAGCTAAACTATGTCCCTAAAGCACCACATCTACACGTCTTTTAAATACCTCCAGGGATGGTGACTTAATCACTTCTCTGGCAGCCTGTTCCAATGCTTGACAACCCTTTCGGTGAAGAAGTTTTTCCTAACACCCAACCTAAACCTTCCCTCGTGCAACTTGCAACCGTTTCCTCTCGTCCTCTTGCATTTTACTTGGGAAAAGAGACTGACACCCACCTCACTACAACCTTCTTTCAGGTATAATGCCACATTTGCTTGTATCACTTTCTATCTGAATGCTAAATATCATATCAAAGAAATATGTTAAGAACTTCAGAGACTTAAATCTTCCTGAGTGGTGCCACCCTTAGAATGTAAATGCCTTTTCCTTATGACAAGAGGGCAATAGTCCAAAGGAGCAGAACACACACAAACTTTCACAAATAATAAAAGGGACACGAAAATTAAGATATCGTTTCCAGTTTCTGAACTTGATTTGTTTGAGACTGGATGACAGAGATTAACATTAATGCAGAATTACATTGTAATCTAATAAAGTCACCATTTTAATGGTTTTTCTCATTGAAACTTTCTTGGTTTTAAATCTTGAATACCTGTCAAAATGTCAAGGGGAATAATTTAGAGTTCAAAAGTTTCACTTTTATAAAACTTCATTATTAAAAATGCCTTCAAGTGAAGTGTCATGAAGCTGAAGTAAGTAGTGAATTTTTTCATTTCTGAATAGAAGAACAAGACCATGCTGCTAATATGCAGCGGGTAGTATTTTAAGTGACTGCACTGTTTAGGCAATGAAAGCCATGTGAAAAAGGGCTCGGGTGTACATTGCAAGGTTTTCACTAGTCAGGTCAGAACTGGTGGTTGTTCTGTGGGTGGCATAACAGTGTGCATCAAGATAATGGAAGTTTAAATGAGTGAACAGTGGAGGTAAGATGAGCAAGTGTAGTCATGGGTGGGAAGGAAAATGATCCTTACATTTTATGCTTGTGCTTTTGTAAAACATATGGAGATGTATCCTGCTGCATCAAAACTAATTAGCTAAAACGTTGGGAATGGAGGACTTGTCAGCATATGACTGCTCAAGCACGGTTGAGAAGAAAACTATTCCTTGCTCCAAGTGTTCCTTCTCTCTTCCCTCCAATCCCATTGATTTTTAAGTAATAATAATAAATAGCAGTGATTATTTTGTCTACCTGAAATCTGAGGGACAATAGTTTGATTATTTCTTTTGCCTTTTATTTGCGTCTGCTACTTAGTCAAATCTCTCTGTAAGTAGTAGAGCTGTCAGGGTGAAGTGGACGTCGGAAGGTGAGTGGCAAGTATGGATCTCTTGCTTATAGAAATGACAGTTCACGTTTAGCTTGTGTAGATAGAAGCACCTCTTTGTCATCTGTAATTGCTTTTGCCCGGATGAGAAGTTCCCAGGTTCCAGAGGGCAAAATTTTGCAACAGAAGAGCCTTGGATATGATTAATTTGCAACACTGCACTGGCAATATATAGAGCAAGAGGCCAAAAGATAAAATGATGAGAAGCCAACCTCTTCTCCCAGCTGAGTTAGTCATGACGTGCTGGGATTAGGGGAATCTTGATTGAGTTCAATAATTAAGGTAACTTCAGTTCCCTGAATGTCATTCTGGCACAACTGCTACATCTTTTCTTTTGAGAAAGCTTTAAAAAGAAATTTGCTTTGCCTGCGTTGATGGATCTGCAAAGTAAAGTTAAAAATAACAGCTATGCAATTTAAGAACATGTACTCTTTAAATGGTTTTTGGAACCGGATATGTTTAACCTTCTGAAATATTTGCATTTCACAAGTTGTAGTAATACAATTTCATAAACCAGTGCCCTTTTCAAATGACTGTAACAGCAAGGACTGCGTAAAATCGCTTTGAATAATAGGGCAGAAACATGAGTAAGAAGCTTGCTTTGAAAAAATCTACTCATTTTTATTAGCTTCTTGCTGTCCTTCTTTCTTAAATTAAAATGAATAGTGTGAGATTTTTTCCTTTGTATGTTTAGTTACCTTCTTCTATAGAGCATGGACATACACACTGTTTTGAGCACAAGACTGGACCATTTGGTTTCAGTAAAGTAAATAACTTTCATTCTCTTGTGTTCATTCTAAATCGGAAAAAGCTTAAAAAAATAAAAATAGATTACTTGTAAAAGGTGATGGGTATAAATGTTATTTGTATTGGCTGTAACTGGCTTTGAAAAAGGAGATGACTTGTCTGATTAGATTTTAATCTGTGAATGCTGATGTATTAAAATTAAGGTCAGGACATTTTTCTACAGAGATTCTTGATGAAACTTTAGTCAGAAGAGATCAGTAATATTTTAATTATTTCTTTTGACTCATAACTGGAGGAAGAGGCATTGTCCAGAAGGTCTGGTGACCAAGATGCATGTATGGTGTGAAAAAATAGCTTGCTATATCTATGAGGGTAGAGATTTTTAAATACCTGTGTCTTCCACATCTCATGAATTATTTGGCTACGTGAAGTGGGAGTTTAAACTGAGGCTTTGTATACTGTAACAAAACTATTAAAAATTTCAGAATTCTTATTCTGTTACAGTTCACAGTTTTTTTTTTTTCAATGTCAAGAATTTGATTTATATATCCCTTACCTTAAATATCAGTTTTTGTCTATGTCTTGGCCATCATATAAATAGAGTTTTCAAAACACCTTTTTTTTTTTTTTTTTTACCCTGTACATAACATGCTGTGTAGTTTTTTTTATACAGGTATGATGCCAACGTTTTTTAAAACACTTTACTGTTTTTATTGTTTCCTTCAGGAAAAAGCAAGTAATTTTATTTCTGCTTCAATTTCAAGACGGCTTTTCATGTTGTGGCATATAGTTTTCTTGAGAAACAAAGTAGCAAGCTTAAGTTGACCATTAATTCCAATTAATTTATTAAAATATTGGATTTTTCTTACAGGAGATGATCAGATGGAGAGAAAAGGTCAAGTTTTAATCCTTTTAGTGGAACAAGCTCTCAGTTTCCAGGACTACAAAGCAGCTAGTATGCATTGTCAAGAGCTCATGGCCACAGGTGAAGTGAATAAATCAGAATGGCGCGAGGTGATGGTGGTGCAAATCTGAGTTCTGACTCTCAGATTACTGTGAAGTATGGTACTTCAGATGAGTCCACTTCATTAAAAAGTCAGTTGCATTTTGTTCGTGGAAGTCAAGTAACATCAACATGTCAAATGTAGAAGGCAAGTGGTATGAAATAGCACAAATCCTGTTGTTTTGAAGGAGGAACTCTATGTAGAATCATAAAATCATAGAATGTTTAGGGTTAGAAGGGACCTCAAAGATCATCGAGTTCCAACCTCCCTGCCATGGGCAGGGACACCCTCCACTACACCAGGTTGCTCAAAGCCTCATCCAACCTGGCCTTGAACACTTCCAGGGATGGGGCATCCACAAACTGGGCAACCTGTTCCAGTGCCTCACCACCCTCAGAGAAGAATTTCTTCCTTAGATTTAATCTAAATCTCCCCTCTTTCAGTTTAAATCCATTGCCCCTTGCCCTATCACTGCATGCCCTTGTATAAATTCCCTTCCCAGCTTTCCTGTAGGCCCCCTTTAGGTACTGAAAAGCTGCTATAAGATCATCCCGGAGCCTTCTCTTCTCCAGGCTGAACAGCCCCAACTCTCTCAGCCCATCTTCATAGCAGAGGTGCTTCAGCCCTCGAATCATCTTCGTGGCCCTCCTCTGGACTCACTCCAGCAGCTCCATGCCCTTCTTGTGTTGGGGACTCCAGAGCTGAATGCAGTATTCCAGGTGGGGTCTCAGGAGAGCAGAGTAGAGGGGCAGAATCCCTTCCCTTGACCTGCTGGCCATGCTGCTTTGGATGCAGTCCAGGATACGGTTGGCTTTCTGGGCTGCTAGTGCACATTGCCGGCTCATGTTGAGCTTCTCATCCACCAGCACTCCCAAGTCCTTTTCCTCAGAGCTGCTCTCAATCCATTCTTTGCCCTGCCTGTACTTGTGCTTGGGATTGCCCTGACCCACGTGCAGGACCTTGCACTTGGCATTGTTGAACTTCCACGTAGTCATGGAACTACAAACTACTTAAGCCAAGTGGCTGCTGGAGCAGTCTGAAGTTGAGTTACATCTCTGTTCCATGCAGCCTTTATGGTTCCTTTTTCAGGGGATGTTAAGTGTCAACAGGAATACCACATGTGCTCCTTTATCTCATCCAGTAAGAATTATGCAGCATTCTCCTATCACTTCTGAAGATTACCAACCTCAGAAGCATGTTTTGTGTTCCCATGTAGGTTATTCTAAAAGCTGGGAAGTATGCAGTCAGCTTGGACAATCCGAAGGCTACCATGATTTGGGTATGCGTCAGGAGCTCATGGCTTTTGCTCTGACACACTGTCCCCCAAGCGCCATAGAGGCATTGCTGGGAGTGAGCAGTTCTTTGCAAACCCAGGTAGGAGTTTCTGAAACTTTTTTCAATGTAAGTTTGGTGCTTACCAAAGTAAAGGGGACTTGTGCTCATCTTAAAGTTTAAGCATTTTTACATGATGACTTGACTTCTGAAGTAGGAGGGGAATTGTATTCTCTATCTTCAGTACTTTTGATTTCTTTATTTATTGCCTGATTTAAACTTTATATTTGAAGTTAAATAATTTTTTTCACTGTTTTCCAAGTTCTGTCACCTGTTTACACCTTATAATACAACTTCATTAAATGCCCACATAAATGTCTATTAAATGTGTATTCTTACAGTTTTATGATCTTTACCCAATGTAAAATGAAATTATTTTCTTACTGATTTCTTTTAACAATTACAACAGGCTTTATGTGTGAACCATCTTTATTAACTTTGCAAGGACTGACTTCTTAATAGAATCAGATCTTAGATGTTCAACTGATCATATTATATATGTGAGAACATGTAGTTGTGGCATTTAAATACAAGTTATGGCAAGATGACATAGCAAACCTTTAGAAAAGTTTTATTTGAAACTGCAGTGCAGTAATTTATGTTGTCAAAAGGTTAAATTTCTATTCAGTGTAATTGTGGCTGGGCCTACCTACTATTACTTGTTTAAGAATTCCTGTTTGTCTTAGTTGTCTAGGAGTTCACAATGTGCATAGATTCATCTTTGTGTGGTACAAACCTCTTAAAGGGCTTCGATTCTGTGCCTGAAGAACGAGGGAGAAGGGAGCAATAGCTGCAGTACAAATGCAGTCTAATTAAGGCAGCTGCAACGGCGTAGCCTTTTTGGTTATAAAATTGCTTGTATAGCAATGTGTGTGAGAAATACAGGCAGCATATGGGGGCAGTTTGGGCCACTTCAGTAATAGGATAATATCAGAATAAAATGCTACAAAGGATTTGAAAAAAAAAACTCTGACTCCTGGAAACTCTTTTTTTTTCGTCATGAAAGCACTCAAATTTGAGAGAGGTAGGTACAATTATTGGCTTAAACGCAAGTGGAATCTTTACAGAAATGGTAGTTGTACAGTATAGATATAAATTGTTTCCTCTCTTATGTGCCTATACCTGGAATTAGAATTTGAAGTCAAACAGACTTTTGACACTGTTTTTTGACACTTTTTGACACAAGCTATAATTTGATAGATTTTTCTGTAAATTCACTGCCTCTGTATCACTGTCTCATTCCTTCTAAAGGCTTCATGTCCTGTTAGTTGTAGTGCAGTGCAGCTGCTCAGCCACCGGTTAGTACCCTCTTGCATCCCACTTCTCCAAGGGAAATGATTCTCTGTCTTGTTCATTCACAAAACTTGAGACTGAATTTGTTGCTCAGATTTCTTTGTTAGTGCAGTATCTTTTGTAGCAACAAATCAGTTTCTTCTGCAATTATTTTCTCCATAAACTAAGCAGAAGCTTTCCAGCTCTGTTAATTAATGGTCCTACATGTTCAGTCCAAGCACTCCATATGTAGATAGATAGAGATATGCAAAAAGTCTTTATCAGAAGGTCAGAGTGTCCAGATGATATACGTATAAGTGTCTTTTGTGGACCTTCATCAGTTCTATGGCCTGTGGAAATTCTGCTCACAAAACTATCATCTTGTGTAACACTTGCCTCTGTAGAGTTACCCAACACCTCAGAGGTACAGGTCAGATAATGGATGTTTTTCATGGAAGTTCTTTAGCCTACATAGTACAGCAGGGTGCATATAAAAAAAAAATAAAAAAAAAAAAAATTCTTACATTGCATGAGAAATAGTGAACAAAAATAACGGAGGAGGGAAGGTCATTTTGTCTAGAAAGTAAAACAGAGAGAGGACGTCAAAGATACCTATGTATTCTTCTCCATGTCTTCCCCTGCACCCCTGATTTTCCTATCATGGAAACTTTTATTTCAGAATTTCTTGGGTTTCCTATGACATCAGTCATAATTCTTACATTTGATTATATGACTGGTAAGACATTATATTGATTTTGTTTTATAGATTCTTTATCAGGCTGTGAATTATCAGTTTCTTCCTTCAGAAGGAAGTGAGAATATAAGTATCTCAGGACCTTCTTCGTTGATCAGTAAGGATGCAGAGGTAAGCGTTAAAGAGAGTTTTTAAAGTAGTAATGGTTTCGTTCTGCATTATGATGAAGAGCTGAATTTGAGTTTTCAGCAACATCTACCTGTTTACTAGATAAAATGCACAACGTTAAATACATCTACTAATTTCTATTCTTCAATTGTTTTAAGTTCAAGGCTTTGCTTATGTTTTTATACTTTTTCTGATTTTTTTGTTGCTTCTTCCTACACAGTCTTAGCACTGTAGAAAAAATGTATGAAGTCAGAGGCAGGAGAAGAGAAAAGCACAACAAAACATAACAAAATAAAATACATTAATGTTGGTTTGATTTTTTCATCTGTCCCAATTGCAAAGCAAGTTATTGAAAATAAAGCTGAGCTACGTACTTAATTTAAATGTTTTGAATTCAACTTAATTTTCTCCGTGTTCTGTGCATCATGGAATTTATGACTTCTTTCCATTTTAGAACTTTCATATTTTGCATGTGAAATTATTTGTATGTTTAAGATCAGAAGGAACATTGAGTGTTTTGTGGGAAATAGAGGCAGGGCAGCAAGAAAAAAGTCTACTATTATGTTTTCTACTTTTCATGTTTACTATTTTAACAAATATAAGTGTATACATGTACAATTGCAAGTATATTTCTCTCTTTAAAGAAGATATAATAACCTATTTATGAAAGAAAGGAATTCTTTTCATCCTCTTCAGAGTGGAAAATTCTATGTTTAATTTTTTTTTTTCTCTGTTCTATGTTTAATTGAGTTTTTCTATAGGTGATAAACAGATCTTGGAGGGGTGGGAGGCAAAAGCATTAAAGAAATACAGGATAGAATAGAGAAATAAAGTAAAAAAAAAGTGGTTCATGTTGCATAGTCTGGCTTTTTGAGAAAAGTATCTGAATTGCATCCTCCTTAATGTCATTGTGCGGAATTTTTACCAATGACAGCTGTAGATGGAATACAATAGTCTTTGCCTTTAGTATATTTAATACCATGTGTCATATAAAACCATACCTCTCCTTCACGTTAGTGGAATGGGAACTGGCACCTTCTCTGTACCTGTCTGTATTTTATGTTTTTTATATGTCCGTAGGCACTCTGTATACATATATGCATATGTCAACATACATATACATATTTGCATATATATAAAGTAAACAGGCAGGAAAGTAAAATAGCACTGAAAACAATATTCAGAGGAAGAGAGCTAAGAACTTTATGTATCTGCTACAGTCATTGATGCAAAGAACAGGTCTGTTCATTGGCATGAATGCTTTTTATTTTTTGGAAATTGGTAAACGAATCTTTCTGAGAGGAAGATTATTAAGGAAATGTTAATAAAACTGTGAAACTTTCTGATGTGGCTAGGGATATGTATGTTTACAATATTTTAATGTATATAACACATTTGTCATTCTTTACGTTTCATATGCTGTTGTACTATTGACTGTATGTTGTGACAGAACAATTATACATGCATATAAATGAACCAGAAACTTATTCAAGGGTTTATCAGAGTTGAGTAAACTCAGTAATTAGCTTAATTGTCAATTCACTTTGGATGTCTGAAGCAATTTTCATTATGCTGGGGAATTCACATTCAGAATATTATCCACTCTTAATTTCTCCAATATATCTTTCATTTCCGCCCCCCCTCCCTTAGTTGTGGTTGGTTGTCTGTTTAGAATTGGAAGTAGGCCAACAGTTGACCTGGCAAGTTTGTATGTTGCTACATTGAATATTTTCTTTCTGTTTTAATACAGCTTCTTGGCATGTCATGTTTCAGACTGTTACACTATGAAATGAATTCTGTATATCTGCTAATTCTGTCTTTGTTTACTCTCTCAGCTGACTTAATAGGGATTTATAGCTTCTTTCATTTCTTGCAGTGACACAGGAGGAAACACAGCCAAGACTCTAGTCACTGCGTAACCCTTCTTTTGTTACAGACATCTGTAATGTTAGAAGAGTGATATATTCAATAACTCAGTTTCTCTGACTTAACTGAATCCCATAACTACAATTTCCATAGTTCTGCTTCAGCTAATTCCTTCTGCTTCAACTTTATTGTTTTCCACAGAATTTCAGTTTCTTCAAAGAAAAAGCAAAGATTTATTTTTTTCCCCCGTCTTTTTACTCCTTTTTTTCCCCACGTATGTCCTGATTAACTTATATCATCCTTTTCTGAAGGAGTTGGCAAATATTCTTCTTTCTCACTTTTCAAATTGGTGTTCTAAAGTTAATTTTTCTTATCTTGACTCAACTAAGCTTCTTCTACTTTACATTTATATGAGCATCCCTGTCTATGTTGCATTAAAAATACCTATCTATAAGTACATCAATTTTTCCTTTCAAAGCTTTAGTGACCTTTTTCTACCTCTTCTTACCTTTATGTAGTATTGAATCATTAGTTGCCACTACCTTTATTTTCATTATACCAAACTACATAACCAGCTGGTCATATTTGACAATAATTCTTCTCTAGAAGTGTCTTAAACTCATTTCATTTTTGTTTTTTCTTTTTTAAGTTTTCCCTCTGAAACTTTGTTCCCCATGGAACTTGCAGAAATCTTGATAGCAGCTGACTACATACCTTCATAGATTGCATAGAAATGTGTCATTTAACATGGCTGTTATATTTACTCCAGTATAACTTTTCTCCAAGTTTTTGGTGGTTCCTACTGTGAAAGAAATTCCCGATTGTGCTGATAGAGGCACATAATTGTTATACAAGAGGTAATGCATTTGCACAAGAATGTGTTTCACTGCGTTAGTGACAGCTTGTCACTGTTGATTGAACTCACAGAATCTGTTGGAGAAATGTTCCTCTGGAAGCTATGATGATTCCAACATAGCAGATTATTTTTAAGCAAAATGTTTTATTTCCCCAATCCCCACCTTTTTTTTTTCTCTTTGTTGTATGCTATGAATGCCTCAAGAATTACTCTTCTGCTTCTGAAACAAAATACCACAGCAAGAAAATTAAGATCTTATTCATGAAAAGCATTTCAGAATATTTTTGTTAACATTATTAGATTAAAATATAATGCTTAGTCACAAGATGCTGTGTTGTGCGTAAACAGTAGAAACAGTAACCAGCAATTGCCTTATAAATAAGCTCTGACTTTGTTGTTTGTGTAATATATAGCAGCTTTCCAGTACCTAAAGGGGGCCTGCAAGAAAGCTGGAGAGGGACTTTTTACAAGGGCGTGTAGTGATAGGGCAAGGGGAAATGGCTTTAAATTGAAAGAGGGCAGATTTAGATTTGATATAAGGAAGAAATTTCTTACAATAAGTGTGGTGAGACACTGGAAGAGGTTGCCCAGAGAAGTTGTGGATGCCCTATCCCTGGAAGTGTTCAAGGCCAGGCTGGATGAGGCTTTGAGCAACCTGATGTAGTGGAAGGTGTCCCTGCCCATGGCAAGGGGCTTGAAACTAGATGGTCTTTGAGATCTCTTCCAACCAAACCGTTCTATGATTCTGTGAAATTATAGGAATGATTTTCTTAAATGTTTCTTAAAGAAAATTGTTGATGAACACAACATTAGCATCTTTGCTTTTGTGTTTTTCCCAAGCACTAGATCTGGGAAAAGACAGGATCTTTTAAAACATTTGTGTACCTTAAGTTGGTATGTCATATATTTTTTTCACTGCTGGTTAGACATCATTAAGGAATGTTGTGTTTATGTGGCATGCGCTGGGAACTCTTCTACCTGGAGTCTTTGGAACCTCGGGGCAGAAATAATACTCCACCTGCTGTTTCAAATAGTTGTGTTTTGTTTGTTTGTTTTTAAATTTTATTTCTATTTTGAGATTAACTGCAGCTGTGTTTTGTGGTTTAGTAAACGTACTGGTTTTAATTCTGTCATATCTAAATTAGAACTCTTCTCATAGGAAGAGATAGCTATAATTCCTGAAGGAATAGTGTTCATTTACAGTGTCACTGAACTCTTGTGCAGAGGAGAAAAATCTCAACGTGGAACTCTATATGTGCACTGTTTAAACTCCTGTTGTAGTCAGTGGTGCATACGGATTAATGCAGTTCATTGGCCGTTAGGTACTTGATGTAGTTACTTAATCATAGATATCAACAATTTTGGATGCCTTAAGTTATCCTCCCGTCCTTTAGCTAGTGGCCAAAAAAGTCTAGGTCCTCTGTCAGATCTACAAGTGTTAAGCAGGTATCTTAGTTACTGCCATATATCTCAGACAGTTATCAAAGTCTATGTTTAAGCAGCTGAATCAAATGGATTGTGTATGCTTAAGGCTGGGTTGCTTTTTAGGTTCCAGTGATATTATATCCTTAATAAGAGCTTAGACATTCGGTGATACGTGAATTTTAGTGTTGTCATCTTGAGCTGAATCTTTTCTCTAGTCTCTCATCTGGGGCCTGGTTTATCTTTGCAGGACTGGAGTTTTCAATCAGAGTGGTTCATTAGCTGTAATATACATTACAAAAAGAAAAACAAAAGCAAAAACAAAACCACAAAAAAAAACCCAACACAAAAAACCTCAAACCAAAACCCTACAAGGCACAAAACATAAATGTAGAATGAACATAAATAATTATGTAAAAAGACTATTTTAAACTCCGATTTTCCAATGGGAATACCAAAAAGGGAAAAAGAAAAAGGAAAGGTAACATTTGATGTTCTGTCCTATGAACAGAATCTGTTCCACTTCACTGTGTTTCCTTGTTTCCTTCATAATCTTAATGCATTATGACTCTTAATGCATAAGGTGTGTACAGTGTACGGTTTTTGCATGTTTCGATTCTTGCATCTTGACTAACTGTAATCAACGAGCAAGAAAAAAAAAAATCTGTGTTGCAGTTGTTCTAATTTATTACTCTCTCTTCTGTGACTTATTTAAAAAATAGTTGGCTTTGTTATTTATCCTAGCATTAAACTCTTTGGAATTACACCTATGTATCTGTATATATGCATATGTGTATATCTAAATGTAAATATTTCATCTGTTATTTTAGAGTATCTTGATAATTCAGAATTTGTTGACTACTTTTTTTATACCAACTTAGATTCATACAAAATTTTAATATGCTAATTTAGGATTACTAAATTGTTAATATTATTTTGGTTTTAATAAGAAGTGCTTACTTTTATAAAAGGATATCAGGAAGAAAAAAGAAAATAATTTCCCCCAAGCACCCCTCAAAACCCCCAAACTGTAATTTTCTCCTGAAGATACAATTAAAGAATACAATTAAAGTCGTCTTCTTAAAATGTAATCTCCAACAATCTTTAAGAAATCATTTACTTTGAGAGATTGATCCAGGATAGCAAAAAGTTATAGCCTGAAAGTGTTGCTGTTCCAGGTACACAGAGGAATGGCTTTTCAGAAAACGGAACTCTTATTTGTGCAGAAAAGACTGTAATTACTTGTCAGAATTGAAATTCTTTTTGGAAAAAATCAATAGAGTTTATCTGATAGTGGTAGAGCTATAGAAGCATACACAACAGCATACAAGTTAGCTCGTTAAGTTTCACACTGCTGAAGGAGGTTTATTTTAAAAACTTGTGTTTTGCTTAAATGCAGTTGATAACTTTGGGGGGGGACACACATGACTTTTTTCTTCTGGTTCTGTTTTGGTTTGGTTTTGTTTTATTTTTCTCCCCATGAAGAATCAGTTAGATGTCCTGCAGCATCTGCTTGAAAACAGAGGCAGAGAGAGAAATTATTTTAAAGGTTATATACAGAGTACTAAATTACAAAAAAGGTTTTGTACTGAGTACCATGAGTGGTTTATTTAAAAAATGCACAAACGAGAAATTCTCCCCATCCTCCTAAGCCGCCAAGACCTAGGATTTTCAGTTGATTTTTACTTTTCAGAGGAGGAGAAATTCTGGCATGTTTTACTTGACATGCTCTTTCTTGATTTCGCAAAGTAATAGCTGAAATTTCCAGTTTATCCAGTCAGTTCTTTAGTGGTGCATCTGCGAAATGCAGAATATAATTTCAGAAAAGATTGAAAAAAAGTGCTGCAACCTTAATGGAAAGAAAGACTTAAGATGGACCTGCTACTTTAGTGGTCATCTTGAAGCAGTGATTTACTGTATACTACAGTAAAAGGTACTAAAAAGAAGTTTGTCTATAGTGAAATTCTACCTTATTGAAGCTAACATGTTTTGTCACTGAAGTTACAGTGGGACATAATTCACTTGGCATCCTATTGCTCTGCTGTCTTAAATTTTGTCATGAATTAGTAAGTTGTAAACTAATACCTCACATTTGGTTATACAGGTAGAATTGTTCTATTTCACTACACTTCCGCATATGGGGAAATAGATAATAGAGTTGTTAGGAAGAAACACTGGATAAAAGCTGTTGAAGTCTGCTGTATAGAAAAAAAATATTTATATATTCTATTACTGAAGGCTGTGTTACATTAGCTTACTAATTATATCTTTATGTCTAACATGTAAGCTTTGTAAAGCATGCAATTAACACAAACCTTTCAGGACTGGAATAGCACAGATCAACCAACATAGATGTTCTGGGTGTTATTTAAATGCTTTACCTGAGGAAGAGCTGGTGCAGAACGTTCCATTTGTAGAACATGTCTTGTGCTTTTAAGAATTGACTTACATGCGAGTTTACTGAGACTGGGTGAAGATGTTTTGCAGGATACTGTGTAGGCATTACATGCACGTACTGCGGAAGCAGTTCGGGATTGAGAATAGGCTGAGGTCTTGATTCTTTTTTGCAGTCTTTTAGGTTCGCTATATTTGGTACCTTGTAGGTGCTTAGTGCAGAATTTCAGGTCTTGATGATGCTTTTTCACTTGGCCTAGTGATGAATGTTTACATCTCTTCACCATTGCCCCTACTGAGAATTCAACTTAATTAATGCTACCTCCCTACAAATACAAGATTGTCTCTGCTATCAGCTTTCTTGAATTATTGAAGATTAATTTTGGCGTGCTTAATCTCCTCATTTGTTTGAGAGATTCTTATTTTAACAGAAGCATTCAACAATTATGTAAAACATTACCATTATAAACTCTGGAATTAAAACCAGCTGGTGTCTGTGGAAACGAGATTATAACTGAATAAGGGGCAAAACGTTCTGCTGATCATACTACTCACTTCAGATCAAAACTCCTAAATCACTGTTAACTTGTGTTTTGTTTGGTTTTAGACAGCTGCTGCTTAAATTAATGATCATTAAAATTTGTTATTAACATAGTGTGTCTGAACTCTCCTGCATTTGGCTTTAGGTCATTAGCCTAATTATAGCATGAGTCTAACACTTGCCATTGTGTTTTGAACATGCTCACAGGACGAAACCAACGTCTCCTCTAGCCAGTCTGCTGATTTGTTGTACTGGACGACATCAAAAACTATGAAGGTGTTGTCTAACACAACTATGACTACAAAAGCCATGCTGCATGCTGTCAGTGACGGACAGTGGTGGAAGAGATCGTTAACTTATCTTCGACCATTACATGTAAGGGATTGCTGATGTGTCTGCAGATGTTTACACAGTCACTGATACACTAGTATAAAAACTAGGCTCCTTTCTGAGAACTGGAGACCTCAAATCAATGAACGAACTAGAGACATCATGGGATTGTTTGCAAGCAAACCCCAGTGAAAAAGGGGTCTAAAGCTCTTTCCTTTTCTTACTTTCTAATCTGTTTTCTCCTTTTTTTAGTATAGTGTGAGAAGGCATAGTTGAACTTTGGCAGAACTTCAGAACTTTGGGGGAGAAAGCACAGTGAAGTCTGCTCTTTAAATGCTGTCATTTTGTATTCAAAGCTGTTCCTTTTCAGTTTCTCTTTTCTACCTTCTCTATTTCAGAGGCTTTCCTATAATGTTTATGATACTAGTTTTTATGATACTACTTTTGGGATTGATTCTCTTTCCTTTTTTAAGAATACTGAATTCAATTCAGCCTTGGTTTATGTGAGACGACTCCTATCTTGCTCCCCACTGAATTCAACGATATTTTCATTTACAGTTGCTTCCCTTCTGAACAGCAGTTACAGATTTTTTTAACAAGTTTTTAAAAACTACGCTCAACTGTACTTATTTTTCCCAGGGCCAAGAATTTGGAGATGTATTAAAAAGTGGGTCAGCAGAAAATGCCACTGTGGAAAAACAAGGCTGCCATCCATTTTATGAGTCTCTAATTGCTGATCCATATGTTGCAGAAGTAAGTTTCAGTTTCAGAATTCTGAAACTTTAGGGTTTTTGTTGAGATCTTGTAATTAAGTAATAATATGAATTTTGAATTATCTGTGTAACTAGAAATTTTATGCAATAGTAGGAAAAAATCCAGAATTAAAAAGAAAGGAAAGCAAATGCTGGAACTGAGGTAGATAATTGCCTCTGATTCAAGTGAGCTAAATATAACTACAGTGTGTCGTGCGCATGTGTCAGTTATCTTATTTTACTTCTAGTCTGAAATCAGCTATGGCACATACGAGAGCAATTCCTTGGAAAGCTTTGCAGAAGTATTACTGAGAACAGAGAAACTGACAGAAACAAAGAGCGAAGGAAAAGACCTGCTTCCGACTACAGAAGGTATGGATATGTGTATATTCACTCCTATATTTACTATATATAGTAAATAAAGGAGAACCTATGAATGAGTTTGAATATGAAGAATAGCACATAACGATTTGAAGTTTTGTCTGGGTACTTTGTATGAGTTGTGATCTGGTTTATCATCTTATATTGGTAAATAGTCTTGATAGAAGTAGCTGCAGAGTTTGCAAGAGAAGTGTTTTTAAAAAGAGTTGCTCAGTAAAAACTAGAAATCTGAAAGTTGGCTTTAAATAAGCAGGAACTGATACTGGGAGGCTGACAAAATATTGTAAGGGGCAGAATTTTTGAAGGTTTCCTGAATGTTACCATATACAAGTATTTAAATAGAAATTTACAACCCAATGATAATGTTGTTTGTTTGTGTGCCTGTGTATTCACTTGTTCCGATTCTGTGACATTGTGTATACAAATTTCAATATTGCAGGGTCATTACAGTATTTTATTTGCTAATTATTGGTCAACTGCAGCTTCTGGAATCATTAGAACTTTTTGTCTTCCGAAATTTCTATGTTTTACAGATAATACTTAATAATTTGTTAACTGAAACAGTTTCACTTTTTTAAAAAAACAACAACCCACATAAGACCACCTATGATTGTTTGTTTTTGCGTTTGGCTGTCTCCTCCTGTTTTAAGAAATAAACTGTTGAAATATTTACATGCTGTTAGTGTCTTTTGAAGGAAGATATCTGTATTATATTTTACTCTGTTGTAAGTTCTGCCATGAGAAATGAGTATATTAAATCACTTGCAATATGAGAAAAGTTTCAAGTGAGACTTTCTTCATAAGCCACACAGTTTTATTTCAACTGTTTAGTGAAAAACAGCATGTTTGTCTTACAAGTGTACAATTCAGTAGTTTGAGATATGTGATGTTTCTACAGATAACCTGAACAGTTGTAATATAATAACATTGCAAATTAGAAAATGCCAGCAACAGCTTGTGTAAATGGGGGTGTATTCACATTTTGTTCCTTTCATGCTCCCTTAATGCAAAAATAGTTTTAAATCAGTACTTATGGTCTCTTGCATGCTGGAAGCCCATAGGCTTCTAACTGATGCATATGTCTTAAAGCAGAGGGAAGCAGGCATTAAAAAGTATTCATTTCTATCTTAGGGCAAATTATATTAGTTGGCAGATCTTTGGTAACGCTTCCTGCTCCAACTTGAGTAATTGAAATTGTTTGTTTACAATTCAGTGGCTGTCTTTGAGATGGAAATTTCAGTTTTGGGGACTTTTGCTTGAAGAAAAAAAATTTTAGATTCTGGCTTTGGTTTTTGATCCTCTGTCTTCCTCCTCTTACGTGTGCAGACTATTGTTCTTACCGTTTTAATACTTCCGTTCTCTTCCGCCACTCTTACTCTATAGAATCTGAATTTCACGTATGAGTCCTTTCAACTGTGCTATGGAACTGAGGTCTGTGTTTTCCTCTGGAAAATTGAGCTGTATTTATTCTATACTCAGCAATCCTGCTGTATGACACTTTTTGGTAGACAGTGTTCTTACCAAATAAGTGTAACATAGCTTTCTGTGAATGAATGGATTTGCAAATTGCTAATTGTAATGCATTTAGCCCTGGATAAATGGTATTGGATACCACCTCTTCCCCCTTCTTAATGCTTTACTTGATCAATTCCAATGGAAGGTCTTATGATTAGTTAACACTTTCAGGATTGTGGAGCTTGAAAATGTGCATATTAATAGCACACTGCCAAAATTTAAAATAAAAAAATCGCTCAGATATGGACTCCATTTATTATTGAGGGTTTTTTTTTCCCCATATTTTCAGGCTTACTCTAAGGTTTTGGGAGGATTTTGCCATGTGAAACTGGAATGTTAATATGAGTTACTAGCTATGATATTAGTAACTAACACTAACACAGCAGTTTTAATTTGATTAAATTAAATTAATTAAATTAATTAAATTAATTAGAGTTGGAATCCTGTTTGTTTCCTTCTAGCTGTCTTCTAGGACAGCTACAGCAGCAGGTTTCAGCTCCATTAGAGGAATGAACGAACTTGGAATAAGATGCAGTTTAGCAAAGAAACCCCACTTGTACTTAGCACATTGTCTTAGGAGAAGTTGAAGTAAGCCTCAAAGTCTGTCATGGTCCAGGTGTGAGGGAATCGCTAAACACCCTCCCCAGAGGCAGCGTGCGTGATGAAACTTGAGATAATGCTTGCTCCTTCTTTTATGGGTTTGGTAGAGTCACAAGTCTTGAACTTGGACTTTTCTTGTCCTTTCTATCTGGATGTAGGTGTTAGACTGAGCATTTTCCAGTGAAGTGTTAACATCCATCACTTTGATTCCAGTAAAACACTC